CTTAATTGATCCATATAAATATGCATTATTTGAAAATATTTACAGATGAATATCAATCCCTCTCTTAATTACTAATTTGGTCTTTCAGTTGGATATATAGGGTGTCTCAAAAAAATGTACCCAAAAGTATATCAACACCACAGACAAACCAATCAATATTTTCAGACATTTTTTGCATGTTCATGTAGATAAAAGATGAAAGTTTTTTCCCCCATGCACAGTTTTTAATTCAGTTTTGCCTTTTTGATACTTTAACCCGTTACCTTTTACACCACATATTCAATGTAACCTCATATTTCGATGACAGTCTGCATCCTTACGACTTCATTGTTCATCACATTTGATATGTCTGGTGGAATGTTTTGATTTCTGTTTGGATGCTGGTCTTAAGTTGTTATGGGTCTCTTAGTCTGGGTTTAGCATAAAAATGGTCCTTCAAATAGCCTCAGAGAAAAAAGTATGGGCCTTCAAATATGGTCAATAGGGAGGCCCTCACAATGTCTTATAGCCGCCTTATACAGAGAGGTCGGAGGTTCAAGAAACTGCATTGGCTGGGATTCTAGTGTAGCTTTTGTTGTGTGGATCAATTTGAGACCACTGTGTTTTCATTTGGATATCATTTGGTCTCCCGGCTAGCCTGCCTAACTCTGGAAGGTAACTCCTGAATCATTTGCCGATAATTGACCTGATTATCCGTGTTTGTTCTGCCATCGTCATCCTCAAACATCGTTCTCTGTGGCTATCTGAAGGAGTCTTTTAATGCTCATTCCAAGCAAAAAGACCTAGAGCAACTTAAGGGCAACATCCAAAGAGAAATCCAAAACATTCCACCGGAAATATTATCAAATGTGATGAACAATGTAGCAGTAAGGATACAGGCTGTCATCGGAATATGAGGTTACATCGATAATGTGGTATAAAAGGTAAATGGTTAAAGCATCAAAAAGACAAGACTGAAATAAAAATGGTGTATTGAGGAGAAAACTTTCATGTTTTGGCTACATGACCATGCAAAAAATGTCTGAAAATATTGATTGGTTTATCTGTGCTCTTGATATACTTTTGGGTACATTTTTTTGAGACACCCGATATATATTTCCCTCAGGATAAGTCCCTTATCCAGAACCTCCCTTTACATAACTCTGCTCATATATTATTCAAAAGTCTGGAATTCTAAATTTCATGGGAGCTAGTGAATCACAGAAGCAAGAATCCCATCATGCTCTAAAGGCTGGAGTATTTCTATAAAATGTTTACTATTTCCTTTTTCATTTATTTTAAACTATACATACAGTGAAACCTGTATATCCAAACACCTCTCTAATATGAACACTTTCAACAGATATTTGCTCTGTCCCATTGACTCACATATTTAAAAAAATTGAAATATGAACACCTGCTAATCTGAACACTTATGGCTTGTCCCAGTGGTGTTCTTATTAGACAGGTTTTACTGTGTAGTAATGACATAGTAGCATTCAAATAGAAAATAGATAGCATAGTTTAACAAAATAATGTGTTAAAGTTATACATAATTAGCCATTTAAAGTAAAAATCAAATCTTAAGCTTAAAACAAAATACTTTTAAACTAATCAAATTTCTAACTCCCCGCCAGTTTTACCTTTTGGCCGATGCACTTCATGCAACTGTGGGGTCATCCATCAAATAGTAAAGAAATAGGAATGTAATGAAACTGTGAATGTTACGAATTCTACTTCCCACAATCATCCATCATATTGAACTATAATCAGGTGAAATTTCTGGTTTGCTATTTCACATCAGGAAATGGGAGTTGACCATCTAAATTCCTCATGGAATTATCACTTTTCAGTTTATTTTTATAATCTATATGTCCACTTTCAGTGATATATGTTTGTTGTCCATTTAGATCACCGGTTTTAAAATAGATTTGAAATGTTTGATGATATCATTTTGGTAATATAACAAATGCACTATGATGCTATCTGTACTATCTAGGAAATAGATCCATTAGTTTATCCTGACATTTAACATCTAAACATATAGTTTATACATACCTTTAAGAGGCCTCCCAGCTATATTGTGATATATATTACTTAGCTGATTGCTTTAATATCAGGATCATCTCGTCATTTTTATTTACTGTATCACTTTAAGTTGATTATTTGAAACAGTCGATGTTTTGAACTTTAAAAGGTACACTGGTAGATATTGTATTCAAGTTTCTTCAATATACATCTGCATGGGGTATACTGTAGAATATTGTCATTTTTACACAAAAGGGCATCTAAAGTTTACAAAAACACATGTATGACCCTGTAATTAATATGAAACCCTCAATTATGTTTTTATTTGGCAACAGAATATGTCATAAAGCTGTTAATTAATGAGAATTTGATGGACAAAGAAAGCCTGCGAGGATGAGGTGTAAAGTTAGAGGGATGAATTATAGTTCTAAACAGCGCATAAATTTTCACAGATTTGCGTGCCGTTTGCATTGATTTTCTCTAAAAAATTTGAATAAACTGTCTAATTTTTGGGCATTTCTATATAATTCAGAGTATTTTCTTGATACCTGTTATTTTCATTCCTTGCTAATTTCATGATATTCCACTCTATTTTGTATTTTAAAACATGACTTCTGAGACATTTGTCTCCTGGGTAATGTATAAAAACATGAATTCTGTACATTTAAGTTTTTCACACATTTAGCATCTGCCTTTACATGGATGAACACCTCTCAATAAGCGTCATGTCAGTTGGCTTTCAAGTCAAGAGATAAATGACTTGGACTTGTGTTCTTGTTCATCTTCATTCTGAGGTGAAAACTTGTTGAAATGTTTCTTTTTATTCAATGTAGTACTTCAAATTTAAACTAAACATCACTTAAAAATGCTGTACATCTTTTCACTTTCAATAGTCTTTAGCAATATTTCAAAAACATAAATACCTTACAGTGATCTCCCCAGCAAGTGGGAGCAGCTCCCACCTGAGATTTTGAAAATTGGCTTGCACCCACCTGAAAATTTATTTGCACCCACTTGAAAATGAGAAGTCTCGAAAAATTGGTATATTTTGACCAATTTTGGTCTAAATTGTGAAAATGAGAATTTTTCACCCACCTGAGAAAAAATCCTGGGGGGATCACTGCTTTATGTGATTTATATAATAGTGAAATATATTGTTGTGCATATAAATGTTGAAAGGGAAATTATATCAAACAAGTTCCTCGTGTGTCACTGCAACATACATAGGCTTGTACAACATTCAACTACATCTTTTAAATACTAAATAATTAAACACACATCATTTTGATGCCCGTGATAGAACATTTACTCGTTTGATTTTAAGTTTATGTTTATCCCGAGACAAGGCACATCCTAAGATTGAACTTAGCATAGGCAGACCCATTTGTCCAATCCTGGTTTGTTTATGTTGAAGCTATAATAAACAATATCATATTTATACTATAAGATGAATGTAATGTAAACATAGATGAATTAGATATTCTTAATAACAAGGAAAAACCAGTGACATAGATCATTCTGATTTGTCAGTGTTGTTGTTTATCTAAAGCTTGCGAGAGTTTTCTATAGTAGATGCAGTAGAACCCTGGGATGAATAAAAAATTTAATATTTAATTTTTGATAGGTATGCAGTATGTAATTCTATCAAATAGAAATAGATTACATAGTTGAAGCAGTGCCATCTTTTTATGGATAATAGTTACTTTTAACTTTATATGAGATTTTACAATACATCTTTACTTGGTTGTAGATCAGGCCCGTAGCCAGGGGGGGGGGGTTGGGCGAATCAAACCAAAATTTCTTTCAAAATCATGCAGTTTTTCACCATTCTGACTATTTTTTGAGTGATTTTTGGCCAAATTTGCCAAAGTGAATCCCCCATAGAATTTTTGGGAAAAGTGAACCCCCCTTGGAAAATTGTAACGTGTAACGGGTCTTAATGTATAAGTGTGCTCGGCGGTAGGTTCAAACAACGCGGATCCTCAAAGCATGTGCTCATGGTATATTCGTGTTTTAACACCCTTGTTTAGGACTTATGTAAATCTTTTTGGACTCTGATTGTTTTTGATAAAGCATGGAGGTTTTAGAAGTTGTATAAATTTCCAGAATGTTCCTTCATAAACAAGATTGATAGCTTGTTTATGTTTACTAGTTAACTTGGGTATATTTTATAGTGATTATGTGTAAATATTTATATGTATGGATTATATGTCAGAATGTGGTATATCTCATCATTAAATGAGCCGGGCCACAGGAAAAGGGGTCTTATCACAGATTTTTTCAATGTTTTGATTTTGTGTTTTTCTTAAAAAGCACAAAAAGACCTTTCAAATGAGCCATGTCATATGTCTTAACAATTTTTCCATGCAGATATAGACCAAAAAGACGAATTTGAATTTAGACCATTTTCCTCTTAATCTTGGGCACATTTTTGGCTCTGTAGCACAATTAAAATTTTTGTGATAAGACCGGTTTTCCTATGGTGAGGCTCAAATGTCATCCAAGTACATCATGTCTACATGTCTTTGAATTGTGTGAAATGATGATATATCATGATGTTATACACATAATATTCAGGTAATATGCATGTGAAAGTACCAGCTTTAGTGATATCACACTCATATGCATATACAGTAAAATCTACATTAGTGAAACACCTTTGATACCTCTAAAAGTGTTCCACTTTTGAGGTTCCCCCTGAAAGAGGTTCATCTAACATTAAGTCAGTGGGTCATGGGACTTTGAAAGTGTTCCACTTACAGAGGTGTTTCACTTATAGAGGTGTTCTACTTAACACTGTTTTACTGTATAATAATATCATGCAATTCAAAAAGTAATCAGCTTGCTCTTTTGAAAACCCTTGAACCACATTGATATCAGTAAACCAACCGACAACATCAAATAAGTACATTTACGATGCTGACATCTATACATATTGATGGTATTTATATACATCAGAATATTCCAATATTAATGATTTGTTATCATTTCAGTTGATATCACCTCGCTTCCCTGTTGTTGTGAAGATAGGACATGCCCACGGAGGTCTAGGCAAGGTATGTCGCTCTTTTCCATTTTTCCTATGTTGCCTGGTACACACTCGTTTGCTTATACCCTTTGGATTTGTTCGAATTTGCTTCTTAAAAGATAGCTTCACCTCGACCCTTCCAGTTTACGATAATCTCTGTACTCACCGAGTCAATCAGAGTTTGTCGAAGAAATAAACTGGAGTATAACCTATACTAATGCAGAGGGTACTTTACAACTAGATTCTGTATGCCGGATATCTTTTGCTATGGTCAGTCATCTTACGGCATTACACCAAAATGAGAATTTGTTATAAAATTTCTTCAATAATGTATACTTGGTCAATAACTGTCAAATAAGAGGTAGTTTTTATCAAATTGGGGTATTCATGTTTTTACTTTAAAATGTACATTTGAATTTCAGTATTGGGCATCTAATAAATATCGTACAAAATAGAGATTCCATTTAAATTGTTTATAAGTTGAGTTCCTAATATTGTATATATGAATGTTTCCAACTGTTTTTTATGAATGAAAAAGTAATAAAAAATATTGATATCTGATCATTCATGAAAATAAAATTTCAGAAAATTGATACTATTTTCTGTAATTTAGGTTAAAGTGGACAACCACCATGACTTCCAAGATGTTGCAAGTGTTGTAGCTGTAACCGATTGCTATTCAACAACTGAACCATTTGTAGATGGCAAATTTGACATCCATATACAGAAAATAGGCAATAATTACAAGGCATTTATGTGAGTAGAAGACAATAGCTGCAATTATTTCATTCTGATATGATCTTTTGGTTTCACCAGAAACATGAAATATAAGCTGAGATGAAAGATATCAAAAATCCTCAAATCTGGGCTCTCTTGGATCAAAAAATTAAAACCCATTATATCATGGCATCTCATGACTCAGAGGAAATGAGATGTCATGGTTTATCATGGTTTACTCAAATTATATTGAAATAATATACTGTATTGAACAGCATAAATCACCTAAACCGTTATAGAAATCCAAAGAGTAGGCCACGAGAGTACAACTGAATGGTCTTTGCAATCCATGTATTTCTAGGCGAAAATCTATATCTGGCACTTGGAAAGCTAACACAGGATCAGCCATGTTGGAACAGATACAAATGAATGACAAGTAAGTACAATTCATTTTTAATAACCCTTTGGATTGATGATTGCCTTTGAAATCACTATACTCTATATTTTACTGAAAACTGTCTGGACTTAACAAGCTAATCATGATGCTATGATGACATCAAAGATCTTCTCAGGCTAAGAAATTATATATTTATACTTTAAATTATGTATAGTTCAACGAATTTATGTTTGTTTTATGCTACAAGAGATTACATGATATACTCACATTTAGTATCTTTACCCCATTATTCCATACGCCATTACACAGTATCATGGTAACAGCTAGGGGCCCAGGCCCATTGCCAGGGGGCAACCCTGGCTTAAAATTCTTTCAAAATCAAACAGTTCACCATTCTGAGCATTAAGTGATTTAATCCCAAACTTGTCAAATGTGAACACCCCCTGAAATTTTTGGAAAGTGAATCCATCTTGGCAAAAGCTGGCTACTGGACTGGGCCACAAGCGTATCTTGTATTGTGAAATCCTAGAAGTGCATCATATAGAAAAGCACAACATGATGGTATGATGGGGGTACCACCAGTGTTTTTCCTAAGGCAAAATACATCACAGGACCACCGGACTGACAGGTTCTACATTTTGGCCAGTCCATACCAAAACTCATCGGACATTCGGACCTGTAACTTCAGTTTAATCACCAGTCCGTGTGAAAACTAGCCTAACCAGTCCAAGACTAAGAGAGAAATGAAAGTAACAAATTTTAGAGCGAATTTCTTGCGAATTCAGTTTCAAATCAGCCCATAATCGCATGTTTTTATACATGTTAAAGGTGACCTACTTCTCAGCGTACACTTAACTGCAAATTATATTGAATTCGGACGAAATTTCCGAAAAAATCATCAAAAAATAAACCTTAAAGTTTACATTATTAATGCGCATGCGCATAATTCTATCGTTTTGAAAATGCTTTTGATTGGTCGATCAACTAAAATTCACGTGCCATCACTCGTGGCTCACCGTGAGGTCTGCATGCTTACGAATACGGTTTCACGATAGCCCTGATAAACAGGCGTAATAATCATGGGAATCTCGAAACCGATCCAATATATGACAAAATTAACCAACCAATCAGCGATCAGATTTTGCAATGATACCGAAAGATAAACCAAGGGCGAACGTAATACCCGGATCGTTCGCAAATTGGCGTTCGGTTTTTTACCGCATCCGATTTGAATTAGCCAATAAAACCTCACGCGGTAAAAAAATCGAGATGATTACCCAAGAGTCTAATCAACCAATCGGAGAACAGTTTCTGTTTGATGCTGATAAAAAAATGATGATACGTAAACATCCTCCCGTGCAGCCAATTTCACTAAAATGATTTTTAGAATTTCAAGGTTTTACCGTAGATATAATGAGATTTCAGACAGCGATCGGACCAAATTTGGGAGTAAAGAAATGATTTTAGATGAGGAACCGGACACAGGCAGAATTGAGGACTGGCTACTTGATAAAGCTCATCAGTCCGAAGCCCACATCACCGGAGATGTCCTATGGTCCGACGCTTAGGAAAAACACTGGGTACCACCTATGCTTTTAATCTCTACTTTAAGGTATAAGCTCTGGGTGGATGAATGCAGTCAATTGTTTGGTGGGCTTGATATTTTAGCTGTAGAGGCAATACAAGGGAAGGATGGAAAGGAGTACATCATTGAGGTAATAATATTTTGAGACGCTGTTCAACCGTTTTAGTCTATTAAGTTATGTATTTTTATCCCATCGAACGAAGTTCGGAGGGATATAGGGAACGCCTCCATCCGTCCATCCGTCTGTCCGTCCGTCCGTCCGTCCGTCCGGGCAATTACTCAAATACCGTTCACCCGATTTTGTTCATATTTTGTACACATATACCCTATAGGGGTAGAAGTTCTGCTCGAAAGCCGATTTTCAAAATGGCTGCTCATTACAAAATGGCGACCATTTTAGTGCCGAATTTACAGTAATTTAGGTGCAATATGTAAAACTGTAATAGCAATATGTTTTAGATGTAAAAAAAATTTTTATAGGTCATTAATAAAGCTAGAAATGTAGATATTAAAGAAGCACATGGCAGCCATCTTGAAAAATGGCGGCCTTTACTCGTTATTTTACGATTATTTGCTGTAACTCGAAAAGTAGTGGAGCGATTTTGTTCACATTTGGTATGTGAATACTATAAACATTGCACAATGTCTAAAGACACTTTTGGTAGAAGGTGACCATTTAAAAAAAGGCCGCCATTTTCAAAAATGGCCGCCATTTTAACCTATTTTACTATAACTTGAAAAGTAGTGAAGCGATTTTGTTCATATTTGGTATGTGAATACTATAAGCATGCACACTGTCTAATGACACTTTTGCTAGAAGGCGGCCATTTATCAAAATGGCCGCCATTTTAACGTATTTTACTATAACTCGAAAAGTAGTGGAGCGATTTTGGTCATATTTGGTATGTGAATACTAAAAGCATGACACACTGTCCTATGACACTTTTAGTAGAAGGTGGCCATTTTGAAAAAGTTGAAAATTGGCCGCCATTTTAACGTATTTTATAATAATTCGAAAAGTAGTGAAGCGATTTTGTTCATATTTGGTATGTGAATACTGTAAGCATGGCACACTGTCTAATGACACTTTTGGTAGAAGGCGGCCATTTTTCAAAACGGCCACCATTTTAACGTATTTTACTATAACTCAAAAAGTAGTGGAGCGATTTTGTTCATATTTGGTATGTGAATACTATAAGTATGGCAAATGGTCTAATGACACTTTTGGTAGAAGGCGGCCATTTTGAAAAATGTACTTTGTTTGTAAAAATGCCATCCATGGCTGTTCGATGGGATTCGCTACGCTTTGGCGTTGCCGTTGTCCTGGTTCTCATCACCTATTGCCTGAACTTAAGGAAATTATGAAATCATATGTCATTTAGCTATTATCTCTGACTTTATAAGGAGAAAATTTTCCAATTTTAGGTCACTGACCTTATTAGGAAATTATGAAATATCTAGTACTGTCATTTTAGGTATAATCCCGGTCTCATAATAGACCATATTCCCATTTTAGGTGAATGACTCATCACTGACCTTATTAGGAGAGACGCAAGAAGAGGACAGACGTCACATAGCAGAAATAGTTATGCAGAAAATGCAGATATATTGTAAACCAATTCAGACAATGAGGTAAGTTCTAAAGAGTTGGGAATATGAATGACTGCATTGTTTTGAGAATGAGTTACGACACAATTGTCAGTATACTAGTATATTCTAAATATAAATTTAACTTTGTATAGTTTTATTACATTTTAAATGTTATCATAATTGATGTTGTTTTGTGCATAGGTAAGTATGTACTTTTCTTATATTCAAATTGTTCATGGTATGAATTATTATATTATTGAGATCAAAGTTGCACCAACCACATGCCTGCTTATGCCCACGCTAATATCTGCCCGGCTAACTTATTTTCTTGGCTGATATTACCACAAAAATGGATCCATCATTTTAGAGATGTGGCTCGCACCCCATTCTTTGAAAAATTGTGAACATTTTTCAAATAAAATTAACTTTATGAAATCTTCTCTTAATCTAAATTTCATCGTATCACCAAAAAATGGATCATTCAATCAGAGAGATTTGGCTCGCTTGAAATCCAGTCACTGGGAAACTGAAATTATTTTTTAAAGCAAATGTATAATTTATTCCAGTAATACCTCTTGTATTCCGGTTGATAAAATTACTGAGACAATATTTTCAACTGATCAAATCCTAATTATATTAAAGTAGACTTCAAAATTAAAAAAACAACCTTTCCTTTTAAAAATGCAATACTGCATTCATTTAAGTACTTCATTATGCTTATGAATTCAGCATTTTTCAGGAAGGAATGTTTGTATTATATTTCATTTATAATATAATTTAAATAATAGCTAATGGCTACTTGACTTATTTTGGGAAGTTATGGCCCTCAACAGGTTATTTGGTTTGTGACTTTAGGTAGTGGACAATTTTTGCAACATGCAGAAAACATGATATTATTTTGATAGCCATGCAATTTATATACAGTATTATATAACATGATATGTGTTGTACATTTTGTGCTTTCTTATTCCCAGACACAACTATACCTATCAGAAGTATGTATTGCTTCTGTTACTATAGAAACATGTCACTATATCCATAGATACCTTGAACAGAGCAGCATGTGGTGCTATACATAATACCTCACTCCCTATTTATAAACCCCTAGGTCCCTGACTGACACAAGATTTCCACTCCCAAAAGCACATTTTATATTCACATCCTGGCTGTGACTTTCCCATATATTACAACAACATATAAAGCATCATTTAGTTCCATCTATATTCATTTATAAGAACTGCACCTCATTGATTCACATGTTACCCTTGCCTTGATCATTTCATAATTTTATTTTACATTCCGGCACCTCCATTTTTTTAAAATGCACTACTTCACGTTTCTGTTGTGAATGGATATGGTGACTTGGTTCGATTAGTTTATGTTATAGTTTAGTTGAAGGATATGTTGTCAATATTTCATTCATTAGATGATTAACAAATTTCCTCCAGAAAATTCTGCTGTAATTTTTATTATTATGTCACCTCCAGAAGTGGTGACATATTGTTTTGGTCTCATTTGTGGATGGTGTTCAGCAGGTGGTGTTTGGTGGTTGGTGTTTAGCATTCACTGGTTTGTGTTCAGTGTTTGGCAGTTGGCATCTGTAACAAATGACAGGTGGTGACATTTTGCATGTAAATGCCTTGTAATTTTTTATTATTGTTCTACTCGTACCCTGATTTTCCATTATTTTATGACACCACACTCTTACTATTTCAGATGATTTTAAAAATTTTGATATTGATCAGATCTTAAAAATCTCATTTGTTGCTTCCGCAGCATTTTATGGCAAATTCAATGTGAAATAAATGTTAGTTACTTATAGGCAGAAAATGTTGTATCCATTTACTTAAATAATATTCATCATCACTTTTATATTTTTTAATTTGAAAAATTGTTGTGACCAATCTCACATAATAACTACTCATAAAAATAAAATCAATTTGCATGGGTTCTGCATTAAATCATATTTTAGATAAATTATATTATGGTATTCAATAATTCATTTCCACATTTAAAATTAGATCACATATTTTGTATTATTAACTCTTTGATGCAGTTCTTATTTAAAAAAAGAAATACTAATTGAAAATTGAAAAAATTCTCAGAAATGTTTGAAGAGGGCACCATCATTATTGATAAATGGAAAAACATTCATATAATATTATATTACCAGTAGATCAGTGATCGCCATATTCAATTTTATCTATTTTAGCAAAAAATAATGTGAAAGAGTGACATCTATAAATTGAAGCAAAAACTTTTGTATTACTGGGTAATCTATGGTCATCCGAATGGGGCCTATTGTTTGAGTAGGGTGCCTGACTGTGTCAATGAGTTAATATGTAGAGGAATTTTGTATTTAGGGATATTGTTCTAGTTTAGACAATAAAATTTAGATTTGCATACAAATGGACATTCTGTACAATGTACAATGATTTACAATTGGACTAACTTACAATTGCAATGTCATTTGTCATTTTAATTTTGCCAAAGAATAGAACTTGATTTTCTAAAATTGTATTTGTTCTATAAGCTTCTGTGTATTTTTCTGTGTGAGTTGCTTAATATTTGCCAAACAAAATTGATTTTAGATTGATGGGAATTGTGTGCATCTTGTATACACTGATTGGTTTGACTCAAGGTGTTTGTACACAAAAATCACTGTTGTTTTAACATCTATTTTATAATCACCTTGACTGATTTGTAAACATTCTTTCAATCATAAAAATAGATGATTTTTAAAACCAAATATAAAAAACACTGTACTTGTACATACATATTGCCTTGATCTGAGTAATCAATTTTGTATTTATCATTTCAGACATGATATATTTTTCAGCAGGTATAAACGAAAATGATGCTACTAATAATTTCCTTTCCATTCCAGCAAGACCACGAGTGCACACATGTTAGGAAACTATACTGGACCATTAAATGGCTCGGCCCAAGTGGGGAGTACATCTCCCACCCCACAGCGTATGCACCAACCTCCTGGGCCTGGGGGGCAGCCTAGAGCACCTGGGGGTCAGCAGCAGCAGCAGCAGCAGCAACAGCAGCAACAACAAGCACAGAGACCCCAGGGGCAACAACAGGGTCAGGTGTCTCCTAGACCACCAGGAGAAGGGTAAGTAAAGATCATTGTTATAATTCTTGTTTAGGCTGCAGGAATAGATGAGTAATATCAACAAAATCTAACTTGAAATTTAGGATATAAAAACGAATAAAGTTCCTCTCCTTTCATCCTTCCACAAGAGAAATTGATAATTCCTTTTTCACTTCTGTGTTTTACTGAACTGTATACTATGTAGAACCACCCACTGTTGGAATCATCTCATGTTTAATACACTGTAAAATATAGCTCTTATTGATTATGTGTACATGTATTTGCAATATCTATTTTTCAGCCAACCACAGCATTTGCAACGTTCCCCGCCCCAAAATAATGGTGCTGCCCGGCCAACCACCACACAGCCACCCCAGCAGCCACGTACAGCCCCACCCACACAAGCAGAGGTCGACAGTATTGCCAGAGATATAGAGGGCAGCAGCGGAGAGACTGACGATACTATGAAAAACTTACGAAATACATTTGCTGGCATTTTTGGAAATATGTGATTTTTATAATCAGTAGATTTACACCGTAACTTGATTGTTTTTCACTGCCAATTACCATGCTGCAATCATATTGTAATCACACAATGGTCAGACAAAGACCTAAATTCCAGTCTCCGGGGGGGAACATTTGATAGAGTAACGCATGTTTTGTAATACATAGGCGCAAACCAACTTCACATTGGAACTAGATAAAGATGTACATCATAACACCAGTGTAACAAATGGTTCCCATTATACATGACTCATACTGGCCTTGATTGCAAATATGAGGCCTTCTGGGATATGATGTACCTTGTTGGAAATATGAGGCCTTCTGGGATATGATCTACCTTGATTGCAAATATGAGGCCTTCTGGGATATAATTTCCTTGATGGCAAATGTGAGGCCTTCTGGGATATGATCTACCTTGATTGCAAATATGAGGCCTTCTGGGATATAATTTCCTTGATGGCAAATATGAGGCCTTCTGGGATATGATCTACCTTGATTGCAAATGTGAGGCCTTCTGGGATATGATCTACCTTGATTTACAAACATGAGGCATAACTACATTTCTAGGAAAGAACTCTTTTCACAAATTATTGAGAATTAGGCATGAATTGATAGAACCCTATTTATATGCTTTTGGCTCAAAATGAGAAAATTCTCTTTTGCTCTTGATCACATGGACTAACATGTATAACTTTCATGTATGTTACAGGTGCTTTCAAAGATGTTCTCAATTTTCCATTGATTTTTGAAATCTGAAGAAAATAAAATGATAGGGAAAAAATCCTTGATTCTGCTCACTGAAGTTCCAAATTTAGACTGACCAGTTTGCTATTTTTTTCCTTAACATTTCAGCCAACATATTTAATGACCAGGAACAATGATTTTTACCAAGCCGAAAGTTATTAAAATGTGCAATGTAAGCTATGTTAGATTCATAGAATTAGTGTAGTGTTATATCTTTACCTAAAGTATCCAAGATGAAAACCAATGGGAGCTTAAATCTGTCAATATGCAAATTTTCATCTTAGAAGAGGAACATAAAATGATAGTTGGAATTTGGCAGATGTAATTGTGTATAAAGGTCCAGACCAAATTTTAAATTATACTTATAATGTTATAATGTTCCTAAAACTATGTTTTTATGAACACTGTTCAAACGTGAATAAAATGCCAGTAGGTAGTTACCAGTTTCCCCACCAAGTGGCTAATTCGGGTCATATTACATGGCAGATATAGTAGAAAGTTCCCTTAACTTGAATATACATGTACATCAGTTTAAGTTGATCGACTTTCACATAACTCTTATGTGTCTGATAGTTACACTATATGTCCAGTAAAAAGTAATATATGTCCAACACAAGTGATTTTATAACATGAGGTCTTTGGGGAATCTACCAAAAATTAAATTTTCAAAGTTGATAACTAATTTTTAAACCACATTTCTAGATGTAGATTTACATGTAGATTTCAAATATGATATCAATTTGACTAAATTTTAGATATTTAATGATCACACCGGAATAGCCTGACAACGGTAAAGTCAGATATCGTTGTCACAAATGATATCTGCACGAGTGACATCATATCACGAGTAAATCATAGGATGTTCTTTTTATTCCATAGTTAAAGTCATCATCAGAATCGTTGGAAATTAAGTGATTTAATTCGAATTTTCCAAACGATCCGGCGATGTTCACACTTAGCATCGTTTTGAGTCTAAAGTAGCAAAAATCCATAATTCATAGCATACGGCGCTGTATGTCATGGCTTAAACACCGTATGATATGGTTAAGTGAAAATTTTTGTCAAAAATATCATATTATACCACTGATTACAAAAATACGGTTTTTACATGTAAAGACAACGGTTAGTCTATTTACCATTGTCATTTTTCTATGTTCCAATGCAATACATCCACCATAGTCCGTTGTCACATCTTACCATATGCCATTGTCTTTGTAAATTATTTCAAATTCAGATTCCATTGTCATTGACGATATCGAAGACGCTATATTGTGGCGATTCATGACCCCATTTGATAGAAATTGGGATTTCATATAATACATCATCACACGAGCTTAACACATGCACAGAATTAGCGACGATAAAGTCCCATGAAACGAGGACTAAGTGATTAAAGAGTTCAAGCGACGGTTATGTCCGCCATTTGTGACAACGGTATCTGACTTTACCGTTGTCAGGCTATTCTGGAGTGATGATGCAAATCAAGATTATTTCTACTTGCATCTAGTCTATTAAACATATGTATAGGTATGGTTGTAAGCAAGTACCTGATAACATACAACATATATGCCCACTTGAATATATATTAGGGGCCTTTGGAAAAGGTGTTGATATTTGTCCATCTCTTCATAAATTGCATTATTAAGAAAAGCCAGTTTAAGCCAAATGTACATGTGATATGAATGAAGTGATGACTGTCTTGTAATTTATAATATGTGTAGTTAGTATATGTAGTACATGTACATATTATGTACACTTAGCTATAAGGATAAACTAGGCATTTCACCGCCACATTAACGTATATGCAAAAATGTATTGATATTTACAATATTCATGTTTGTATATAAGGACTATATTATGCTTTTATTAAATAGTAACAATAGTTACCAATTTTTTTATGTTTTACAATATAAACTAGATTGTACATGTGTTATTTCATGATGTTCTCAAGTGGTCTGAAGAAATTCCATTTGCCAAACATGAAGTAGTAATTAGATTTTGGGTTATTGATTTATTTAAAGATGGCGTTTGTGTTCATTCATACTGTAAAACACTTCTTGAATTTTGAGGGGTGAAATGGTCAACATTCTTTCTCCACATATTAAGTGCAATATTACCAAGAGTGTATCATGTCAAAGAAAGATCCCAACGCTGGGATGTCCCGCAATAAAGGTCGGAATCAGTTTATTGTGTGCAAATTCTATACCAAAAGAGGGTTCACTACAGTGTATGATAATGTTCAGTTGCATACCGTTTTATAATATGGCAGCTTATTGTCATTGTTGTGTTTGCTATATTTTTATTTATTAATGTTGCTGTTACTATAACAACTATAATAATATTGATAACCAATAAGATATTGAAATAAAAATTAGTTGTTTTGTTCTTTGTTTCATTGAGGATTTGAAATAGCAATAATATGCAATATAAACAGCCTCTCAAATGATATTAAGATATTTTTTTGATTAAAATTTGTCCTTCATTGTTTAGAAATCTTTTGCAAGGGATAACAACAATCCAGACTAGTTTAATAAAGTATTTTGAAGAAACTACAGATGGGACTGTTGTCACTGACTTACATAAATTGCCGTATTTGTTGGGTCAATTTTTCTGTGTCTGGCACGAACAATATACCTGATAAATGGGTCAGTTTTTCTGTGCCTGGCACGAAAGATTTGTATGTGCAGCACAGTCAATTTTGGCTTTGAGCATAAAACATGGAACTTGGTCAATCTGAGAGGAAAAAAACATGGAAAATTGTCTTAAGAAAGTACGTTTTTTAAGTCAAAATTCAGTTTTTCTACAGAAAATTATATTAAATTTGTTAAATCAGTTGCTGAGGCCTGGAACAAATTACTAGAAGTTGATTTTTTGGTCATTTATTAGTCACAGGGGAATTAGACATGGAAACCTTCAATTTTTAGAGGAAATTGACATGGAAAAATCCTCAAAATGGGGGTCTTTGGGGTGGCACATAGGTATTTAGAAGTCAACAGTGTCAAGATATAGGGACAGAAAATATTGGCATTTTGAAAGTTACCTTTTACAAGACACAATTCGAAGACAATTTATGGGAGAAAGGAAAGTGGAAAAAGTAAAGCATATCACAGAAAATATTGACATTTACTGAACTTTAAGTTTTCTCCACGAAAAGTGGATGAATTTTATGTATGCAGTAGACATTTTCAAAACACTTACCTTATCTTTAAAACATGTGACCAATGACTTGAACCTGAAATCCATGCAGTACATTGCTGGGAGGCTATAATAGCAGACCTTGATTGGCCACCAATTAAAGGATAGGTATCGATATGGTGAACTGAATTCAACAATGTTTTTCTCTTAAACCAATTATTGAAAACATTCTGTAAAAAACATGGCCCTTTATGTAATGTTGACTGATTTATATAACTGGTTTTTTTGTTAACATTTTTTGTTTTTGTAGTGCAATTGTTTTTTGTTCCTTTCTACCAATTCTTGAGAATGAAATAAAATGTCTTTCCGAAACCTTGTTGGGACAAAATAGCATATACAACATTTTCTTAGACCTCTCAATATTATAGTTATACAAAATTATAAAAATTATATTGTTACCATCCAAAATATGACCATTAAATTGACGATGTGTAAAATTTTCAGAATGTTTTGATGAATGGTTTAAGAGAAACGCGTGTTCAAAAAGCTCACCATATCGATACCACTTCTTTGTCATCCTTAAAAGGCAAATAGAATACTTTTTGTATGTAAAATACCATAAGCCTCACTCTATTAACGCACTTCTCTTATCACATATGGAGAAGCGGTTGCAAAGAGGAGCTACATGTAGAAACCCTTGGAATTACGTTCATTTTATTCATAATGCACTGATCAAATTCACGGGGGATAAGCAAAACGAGGGCGAAGCCACGGACTGCGACTCGCGTAACTTTACACCGCAGCCCAGCGCCAAAATGGAGGGACATCCGGCAGTGCCTTCTGCTTCTTCCGACAAAATAGAGAAATCCAGGTATTTTAAATGCTATCGTAGTGTCTAATCGGTGACCAAAATATTACTCTGTATCTACTGTTGGTCTGTAGATAAGAAAATAAGCAGTTGTCCAGATCAAGCTAAAACAGTTGCAAAGTTCTGATTTTACCTGTAAAATATGTGCATATTGTTTAATTTACTATACATTTGAAAGAAGTTTTAACACGTTTCTACTATCTAAAGGTTAGTTGAGGCTCCGAGTATAATTCGTGAAAATGATTTGATAATAGAATGTGTTCATGAGGAGAAAATTAGATTCAAACTGCGCATTCATAGTGGACGCAGTCCAGTAAACAAAGCTATTTCAACAACGCAACACAGCCTTCATTGATATTCTAAGCAACGCAGTCCAGCCGCGAACACGAAATAAATAAGATAGTGTAAACTATATTCCTACGCTATTATTGTTTCAGGAAAAGAAAGTCAGCATCCAGATTATCATTCAAAGTTACGTTGATTAACATATATCTATTACCTGAATCAATGTCCCAAATTGCTATATTGTATCGTTTAAGACCTAGAAATATGGCAATTCAATAGCGTATTTGGCAGAACAGTCGAGCGCAAGATGACAACGTAATATGTTTATTACAAACCAATTTGTGGATAGGGTTAAATATATAGATAATTGGATAGTGGTGAGACTTTTTATAAGAAGTAGAAATGCGAAACAATTAACTTTTTGATGATGCAATAAAAGCTG